TGTTGTTTTTTTTTTCTGAGACAGGGTCTCTCTCTGTCACCCAGGCTGGAGTGCAGTGGTGCAATCACAGCTCACTGCAAACTTGAACTCCTGGACTCAAGGGATCCTCCTGCCTCAGCCTCTCAAGTAGCTGGGACAATAGGCTTGCACCACCACACCTGGCTAATTTTCTATTTTTGCAGAGACAGGTTCTCACTATGTTGCTCAGGTTGGTCTCAAACTCCTGGCCTCAAGCAGTCCTTCTGCCTCGGCCTCCAAGAGGGCTAGGATTATAGGTATGAGGCCCCATACCCAGCCTAAAAAAGGACATTTTAAACAAGTGGTTAATTGTTATGAAATAAGTTAGATCCCATCTCATACTTTATAATAAAATTAATTCCATAGTAATATTTTCATTTTTAAAATAAATTAAAATTCTAGAAGAAAACAGAGGTAAATGTTTCCTAAGCATGTCCCTCCTCACTCAGGTATAGAAACCATAAAATAAAAGATGGTTCTAATTTCATCAAATAAAAAATTTAAACATCAGTATATCAAAGATCATTATAAACAAAGTTAAATGACTGCATATATGACTAACAAAGGGTTAATACCCTGACTACATAACAAGCTCTTATAAACCAATAAGCAAACAGTGGGTAACTCAATAGAAAAATGGGCTAAGAACATCCATGCCTTAGAGAAAAGAAATGCAAATGGCACTTTATTTCATGTTAAATTAATGTCTACATTATGATCCACTTCTCTCTGCACTTTCCTTTGGCTTGATCATCTAACCTATCCTAGTGTGTTTCCCAGAAAATAAGACAGGGTCTTATATTTATTTTTCCTCAAGAAGACACCCTAGGGCTTATTTTCAGGGGATGTGTTATTTTCCCTTCAAAGCCTCAGCTTGCAGCACGCACAGGATGGCCGAGACCTGACATGAGGAGCCGACCTTGTTGGTGGGGCTGCCCGCACCTTTCCGGTCACCTCTGGGATAATAGCTGTCACGATGGGGCAGATGAGAAGGGCTGCTCCTCTTCCTTACTGCTCTGCAACGAAATGCATGGGCTGTGCAGATACGCTGTGTAGACATGCCCATCACTAGGTCTTATTTTTTGGGTAGGGCTTATATTGCTCATGCTTAGAAATCCTGCTAGGGCTTATTTTATGGGTAGGTCTTATTTTTGGGGAAACACAGTAGCTGTCCCTTTATGTTTCTCAATCTGGCAGGCTCCCTGGCAGCCTTTCACCATTGTTTCTCAAATCCTTCTCCAGGTTCTTGTGCACAGCCTCTCCTTTCCAGCCTAGCTGGTTTACCATCTCTGCTTAGACCTGGTGCCTTTTCCCACGTGGCAGGTTGGTCTGCAACATCCCTCCCATCCCATACCCCTGTCTCTCATCTCCGGGTTGTACCAGGTCGAGGCCCGTGCCCTTGACAACACTCCTTGCTACAAGGAGCACTTCCTCCTCTACCTCCCACTAATAACATTTATTGGATTTCCCACTCACTTGGTAGTTGTATTGCTTTGCGGCATTTATCCTGCTATTTTATTTTCCTAATTGCTGTTTGGTCTCCTTGTTTATTTTGTGAGCTGTGGCCCAGCTGCAGGACGCACGGTGGATACACCTCGCTGGCTCCGGCTTGGGGGAAGTCCCGCGGGGGCCGCCTGCGCAGATGGAGGAGGGTAAGAGCGTCCGCAGAGGAGCCCGACTTCACCGTCCCATTGTTACCTTCTACATTAGCCTTGCAGCTTCCCGGGCCGTGGGCTTTGAAAGCCACTGCGCACCTGGGCCTGAGCTACAAAGGCAAAACACTCCCCGGCCCAGCCGATGGGAGGAGATAACTTTCCCATTGGCCGGGGGACTGCAATCCAAGGACGAGGAAGTCCGGAGAAAGAAAAGGAGAACCCCAAGGACGCCCCGGGGTCACTGTTCCTTCTCCTGCCCGCTTTTGGAGGGTGCTGTCTCTTGCCCCCTTTCACCCCTGCCATGTCTGGAGGCATACTTGCCTGATACATTTCTTTCACTGTGCTTCCCTGCTTTGGCGTTCGGTTTCAATTCTTTGCGCCCGAGCACAGGACTGGGGACAATCACTCTCCGGTAGCAATGTGATCATAGCTCACTGCAGCCTGGAACTCCTGGGCTCGACTCAGCCTCCCGCCTCAGCCTCCCAAAAGCACTGGGATTACAGGCGTGAGCCACCGTGCCTGGCCTCTTTTTTGCTTTTTAAATGAGGCTCCTAAAATGTTTTCAGTGCCACCTGTAGCTCACATGTGTGGCTGGCTTTATGTTTCTGTTGGATAGCGCTGGTCTAGAGCACCCAACAGTGACTCGCAGGAAAGAAATGCTCCGAAATCCTTGGTTGATTGAGATGAATGGAAAAAAAAAAAACAAAAACCAGCCTATTTCATGTGAGCAGTTTTCACTCTATCTCACTGCTTTTTCTTGGTTGGTGGGGAGCAAGGTACTACTAATTTGTATCCCCACTAGGTGGGACCCAAATCCAAGAAACAGAAATTGATTAAAGAAACTTACATGAATGTGAAATGAATGCTAGCTCCAAATGCTGTCTTCTAACTTTGTAAAATGAAAGACCTGATTTAGAAAGAGGAGGACTGAAAGAGAGAGCGAGCGAAAGAAAACAAGAGATCTGCATAACAAAGGTGGCTTTTAGGAACCTTAAGTAGTTTAAGGTTATCGACATTTAAAACTTTTGCCATTAAAGCAGGGGTGGTGTCGCATTTTGGGAGGCCAAAAGAAGACGATAGCTTAAGCCCAGGAATTAGAGACCAGCCTGAGCAACACTTAGAGTCAAAATAAAATAGAAAAATTAGCTGGGCGTGGTGGCTCACACCTGTAGTCCCAACTGCTGGGGAAGGCTAAGGTGGGAGGATCGCTTGAGCCCAGGAGCTCAAGGTTGCAATGAGCTATGATGATGCCGCTGCACCCTAGCTCAGGCAACACAGCGAGACCCTACCTCAAAAATAATAATAATAAATAAAACTTTTATCATTAAATGGTAAAATAAATCTGTTTCAAAACTAAAACTTGAAGATGAAAAATAAAATCGGTTTTCTACTACAGAAAACCAAAGGAATTACGAAGACAAGCATTTCAGTAGCAAAAAAAAAATCTTAAATGGATTCCTTCGGCCAAATTAATAACAAATGAGTTTAAGAAGCTCACCTCTTACTGATGCACCGGTGGGGATTTTCCTAACTGCTGGCTTTTTACTCCTTCTCTCTGCCTCTTTCCTTTTCTTCTTAGTTCTCCTTCCCTTAAGTTTCTTTCCTTTCTTCCATTCCTCTCCTTTAAAAAAAAATAAATCTAGGCCGGGCATGGTGGCTCACACATGTAATCCTAGTACTCTGGGAGGCTGAGGCGGGAGGATCGCTTGAGGTCAGGAATTTGAAACCAGCCTGAGCAAGACCCCATCTCTACTAAAAATAGAAAGAAATTAATTGACCAACTAAAAATATATAGAAAAACTTAGCCGGGCATGGTGGCACATGCCTGTAGTCCCAGCTACTCGGGAGGCTGAGGCAGGAGGATCGCTTGAGCCCAGGAGTTTGAGGATGCCATGGCACTCTAGCCCAGGCAATGGAGTGAGACTCTGTCTCAAAAAAATAAAGTAAAATAAATAAATAAAAATCCAATTCCTACCTTTGTTAGAGTAGGTAGTCAGCTAAGTACGAGCAGGAGAGGAGGGAAGGGCACTTGCTCCTTTTGAGTTGCTCTCTTTCTTGGGCGTGTACTTGCATCTGCACAAGCCTTTCCTAAGCCTGTCCCCTTTCCCTCAATAAACTTGCCACTATCACTGGGTTGTGTGCACATCCTGAAATTCCTTTGTGTGACGTTAGCAAGAACCTTTACGCCAGTGACACCTTCATATATCCTTCTCACCTAACTAATCAAGACATTGAATTAAAGTACATTACTCATTTACTTCTTTAATTTATTTTTAATATAATATGGCATAGGGATCTAACTTTTTTTTTTACAGTTAACAAGAGCACTATTTCTTGGATACACCATTGTTTTCTTGATTTGTATTGACAGTAATGATGATTGTTATTGAGAGCTGGATATAGGCAAGGCAGTGTTTTGAGAGCTTTGCCTATATTTAAATTCCTGGTTATTATTAACAGAAAAAAAAAAAAACAAATTCTGTAAAGTAATTTAAAGAGGTTTATTCTGAGCCAATATGAATGACCATGGGAGGGATGGAGAGGAGGAACACAAACCCCAGAAGTCTTGAGTGAGTGGTCCCAAGGTGGTCACATTACAGTTTGGTTTCCTACATTTCAGGGAGGCAGGAGTTACAGGCAAAGACACGCATCTATGCATGGAAGGTATAGCTTGAAGTGAAGGGTAGGGTGGAGCTTACCAGCTTTGGGTGGATTTAGAGACTCTTTAATTTGCAACTGATTAAAGGAATAAAGATTTGCCTAAGAACTTGGAGTTAGAAAGGACTGGGTCAAAATGACCTTTTTAGCAAGGTTGATGGCTTTCAGGTTTAACTCTTAACTGGCATTGCTTCAGGCCTTGTTTATAATTTGGTGTCTTATTGCCACAAAGAGTCTGTTTTGTCAGTCTTATGATCTCTAGTTTAACATTAACGCCGGTCAGTTGTGTCTCAACTCTAAAAAGGAGGGGTTGTGAGGCGTGTCTGACCTCCCTTCCTTCCAGTCGTGGCCAGGAACTCAATTTTAAGGTTTTTTGGGGTCTCCTTGGCCAAGAGAGGGTCCATTCAGTCAGTGAGGAGCTTAGGATTTTATTTTTAGTTTACATTGTGTTTCTTGAATACAGGTTTTCCTCATTTTTAGGCATTTTTATGATTCATTGATTCTTTTATTAGCCCATTAGAAAACAGAACATTGCTTTTCTACTTGTGTCCCTTATTTTTTTTTTTGTCTCTCTGGGAATTGAGAATCTTCTACTTTAAGACTGGAAGAGGAGTTAGTGAGACCAAGAAATTCCACTTTTCCATTTCTCACCGGGGATATCACTTATAGGTGTCTTTCAGGTTGCAGAAAAGATGGAAAAAAGGACATGTGCACTCTGCCCCAGTGGTGTCGATTATAGTGTCCTGTACTTTTCGCAATCAGAGAATATAGCTGCTCATGAAAATTGTTTGGTAAGTTACTTGAAAGTACATAAGTACTTCTAGGGCAGAACATACCAGAATAGATAAATGGTGCTTTGAATACAAAGAATAACAAGTTAACCATAGTTTGAGCTTTTAAGTGTGGATTTGGGGAGCTTATTTTTCTAACTTTGAACTGTTTCAGATCTTATCATCTTATGATTACTTTTAATTTTATTGATAACTGGTCAAACACACAAAGAAAAGAATTATGGTAAAGAAGCATCTTTAAAAATATTTTAATGAAATATTTCCTATATAACAGACAGCCATAGACCTTCTAGCCAGATATAATTTCTATCAAATTCTACAAATTTTTGAGATTTTTTTCCATGGTGGTGAACATAGCTCTAAGTCTTTCATTTTAAATATATTACAGTGTTCCACTTCATGACTATAGCACCATTTAAATATTCTTCTGTGAGTGGACATTTTTTCCAGTATTTTTTTTTTCTATGACTATCAAGTTGTCATGAACATTCTTGTCTAGGTCTCCTTATATGTGTGAGAACTTCTCTGGTCTAGGGTTCAGCTAAGAGCAGAATTGCTGAGGCACAGGGAGGAGGCATTTTGCACTTCACTAAATTTGTCAAATTGTTCTCCTAAGAGATTATACCAATTTTGACTTCCACCATTGTTTCAGAGTATATTTCTCTCATCCTTGCCAACATTTGATATTATGAAGTTTTGATTTTTTCCTCTCCCATAAGTATGAAACGGTATCTTATTTTCATTTGCAATTCCCTGGTTCCTAGTGGGGTTGCATGCCATTTGACGTGCTGATGCACCGTTTGGTTTCTGCTTCTAAGAATGGTGTATTCATAGGCTTTACTTTATCTCTGAGACTTTTTTTTTTTGCTTATATGTATTTATTTATATACTAATAGATCCTAATGCTTTATTGCATATGTTGGCTTTTAACTTTACTTATAGTGTTTTCTGTCATTATTTTCTTTTATAATTTGGGGGTTTTTCCCCCTAAGAAATTCTTTTCTGTACTAAGTTTCTATCTTTTTTTCCCAAAATTTAAAAAATTTTTCTTTTCTCCTTTAGTCTCTTAATCCAATTGGAATTTTGTATAAAGTAGAAATCTAATTTTATTTTATTTTACCACATGGTTAACAACTTTCCCCAGCACTATTTATTGAATAATCTATCCCTTCCTCTGGATTTGTAGTTATAATTCCTAAGGATTCATAATAATAATAATGATAGCTATTATTAATATTTTGTGTTCACTATGTTCAAGGTAATGTTCTGGGAGCCTTACCTACATTAAATTATTAATCCTCACAGCAACCCAAAAGGTAGGTACTGTTACTGTTCTCAAGCTAAAGATGAAACCACTGAGGCACAGAGAGATTAAGTTGCTTTCCCAAGGTCCCACAGCTAGTAAGTGACTGAGGCCAGGATCCTCACCCAGGTAGTCTGGTTCTAGAGCCCTCAAGCTTTAGACCTAGAGTGCTAATAATATCATATGTCATGTGTGTATAGATCTGTTTCTGGTTTTCTATCCCTGTGCTGGTATAACACTGTCTTCATTACAGTCAGCCCTCCACATCTGCTGCTTCAACCAACCGCAGATTAAAAATATTTGCGAAAAAAATACACTAAAAAATAACAATACACCAATTTTTAAATTACAATTTTTTAAAAAATATAGTATAACAACTATTTACATAGCACTCACGTTGCATTAGATAAGTAATCTAGAGATGATTTAAAGTACAGATGCTTCTCAATTTAGGATGAAGTTTTGTCCCCATAAACCCATTGTCATTTGAAAATACCATAAATCGAAAATGCATTTAATACACCTAACTTACCAAACGTCATAGCTTAGCCTATCCTACCTTAAACATGCTCAAAACACTTACATTAGCCTACAGCTGGGTAAAATCATCTTAACACAAAGCCTGTTTTATAATTAAGTGTTGAAAATCTCATAATTGTTGAATACTGTCCTGAAAGTGAAAAACAGAATGATTGTATGAGTGCTTGAAGTACGGTTTCTGCAGATTTTCCCACCACTGTAAAATTGAAAAAATCCTAAATTGAACCATTTTATATTGGGGCCCATGTGTATACAGGGGGAGGTGTGTAGGTTATATGCAAATACTATGCTATTTTTTATATAAGGGACTTGAGCATCAGATTTTGGCAGGGATTCCTGGATCCAGTCCCCCGAAGATACTGAGGGACAACTAACACTATGGTTTTAGAATAAGCCTTGGTTATTGTTTTGGTGCTTTGATTTTGGGATCAGTTTTTCAGATTTCACAAAAAATTCCATTTAATTTATAGATGAATTGGAAAAAATAGACACCCTTATGATATATGAGCTGATTGATTTTTTTTTTCTCTATAGAGGTCTAGAACTTTGGATTAGGCCTGCTGGGTTTGTTTTTTTGTTCTTGCTCTATTACTTTTGTCTAATACCTTCTTTTTTTTTTTTTTTTGAGACAGAGTCTCACTCTGTTGCCTGGGCTAGAGGGCCGTGGCGTCAGCCTAGCTCATAGCAACCTCAAACTCCTGAGCTCAAATGATCCTCCTGCCTCAGCCTCCCGAGTAGCTGGGACTACAGGCATGTGCCACTATGCCCAGAAAATTTTTTCTGTTTTTATATTTAGTTGGCCAATTAATTTATTTATATTTTTAGTAGATATGTGGTCTCGCTGTTGCTCAGGTTGGTTTCTAACTCCTGACCTTGAGCGATCCTCCCTCCTCAGCCCCCAGAGAGCTAGGATTACAGGCATGAGCCACCACGCCCGGCCTGTCTAATATCTTTTTAAATGAGCTATTATCTATGTATTTAAACTCTGTTGATTTTTATTTATCTCATCCAGCAACCTTCTCAAAATCTTATTAGTTCTAAAAGTCTCTAGATGCATCTGGATATTGTATCTTGATTGTATTATATTGTATCTTAGTCTATCTTAATTTCTTTTTCTTGTTTTATTGCATTTCTAAAACATTCTATCAGAGTGATGATTAGAAGCAGTTAAAGTAGGGAACCCTGTCTTGTTTCAGATATCAGTGTGACCCTTCTAAGGTCTTAACCAATAAATTTCTGTATGTTTTAGGTTTTTAATGGTCTCATTTTATTAAAACAAGAAAGTTACCTTTTATCTCTAGTTTGCTAAAAATTAGAGTATTGAATATTATGAAATGCTTGTTCTGCATCTGTTGAAATGATCTTCTGGGTTCTTTCTCTGTCTTTCTGTGGCTACAGACAGGGCTGCATGATTTATTTCATTGTACTTTTTATGTACACAATTTGATGGTTTTTGTAAATCTCAAACTTACAGAAAAGTTGCATATACAGTGCAAAGAACTTTCTTTTTTTCTGACCAGAACCACTTTATATTAAATGATTTGTCATCACTCCTGAATACTTTGTGTGTATTTTCTACATGCAAAGACATACTCTTACATAATCACAAAATAACCATCAAAATTAGGAAATTAATATTATTACATTACTACCACCTCATCTTCAAACCACTCTGGTTTCACCTGTTGTACCAATAACCTTCTTTATAACAAAGGATTCCAGTTCATGGGTTGCATTTAGTTTTCATGTCTCAGGTTTTTCTTTTTTAATGTTAGTAATGTGTGAGGTACTTATATTTTTTCTGTTGTTAAACCATTCTGAAATTAACACTATTTGATCATGATATTTTATTCCAGTGTACTTTTGATGTTGATTTGCTACTATTTTTAGCTAATTTTATTGGTATAATTTGCATAAAACAAAATACACCCATTTTAAGTGTCCAGTTTGAAAAGTTTTGAGACATGTATGAACCCATGTAACCACTACCGCAATCAAGCTATAGAACATTGCCATAACCTCAGAAGGTTCCCTTGTGCCTTTTGCCATGAATCCTTCCTATCCCAAGTTCCTATAGATTGGCCTTATCAGGCTGGGTGTGGTGGTGCATGCCTGTAGTCACAGCCCTTTGGGAGGCTGAGGAAGGAGGATCGTTGAGCCCAACAGTTCGAGGCTGTAGTGAGCTATGATGACTCCACTGAATCCAGCTTGAGCAACAGAGTGAGACTCTGTCTCAAAAAAAAAAAAGGGTCTATTTTTCTCAAATTTCATATGAAAGGAACCCTGCAATATGTACTCTTTTGTGTCTTGCTTCGTTTCTCAGCACAGTGTTTTGGAGATTTGTCCATGTTGTTGCCTGTATGTGTATTTTGTTCCTTTTATTTCTTCATAGTATTTAATTGAATGGATATATCCCAATTTGTTTTTCGATTCACCTTTGATAGACATATGTGTTATTTCCAGGGCTATTATGATAAAATCTGCAATGAACATCTGTTTATGAGTCTTTGTGTGGGCATAGGCTTTTATTTCTCTTGGGTGAATTATGTAGAAGTAGAATTCCTAGGTCGTAAAGTAAGTATATATTTAACTTTAAAATTGATTGTATCATTTTACACTTCTGCCAAAAATATGGCAGAGTGTCCTTTGTTCCACATCCTCAACAACACTTGGAATTTTCAGTCTTTTTATTTTGGGGCAGTCTAGTGGGTATATATTGGTATTTCATGGTCTTAGTTTGCCTGAGGGTTGATGATATTGAGCATCTTGTCATGTATTATTTGCCATTCATGAATCTTCTGTTGTGAAGTGTCCGTTCAAATTTTTTGCCCACTTTTAATTGAATTGTTTGTCTTATTATTGAGCTGTAAGTTTTTTCTATATTCTGATAGATGTCTTTTGTCAGATATATGTTTTGTGAGTATTTTCTCCCAATCCCTGGCCCGCCTTTGTTTCTCAGCGATAGCTTTCAAAGGGCAAGCCATTTTTATTGTGAAGTCCAACTTATTAGCTTTTTATTTATGGTTGCTGCTTTTTATAAGAAATTTTTGCCTGTACCAATGTCACAAAAATTTTCTCTTTCATACCTTTTGTTATTTGAATTATGTGTAACATTGATCTTTAATTCAGAAGGGAGGTTGGATTCTTTTGGTTTCAAGTAGCACATAGAAACTTGAGCAGGTCTGGATATAAAAGGTTTGGAATAATAAAACGAGGCTGTGGGGGCATTTCATGCCTCCCAAAGGCAGGCATGCAGGGGGGTCTAGGAAACAGGAGCTGGGAAGCCATCAGGAACCCAGAATGGCCTCTGTCTAGCCCTTGTTTTTGCTTTTCTTTCTTTGCAGACTGACTTACTCTGACCACGTGGCTTTGGCTGTTGCTCAGAGCCTACTCCACAATTCCAGGACAGGGAATCAAATTGGCCCAATGTGGCATCAGGGTCCCAGTTAGCCATTGGGGGTCAGGATTACAGAGTATGAAACATGCCTGGGGAGTAGGGTCACTCCCAAAGAAGTGGGGTGGCTTGTGGTCTGCTCATCCACCCCAAAAGGTGGTCACTATTCTACCCTCAATCCATCTTCCACCCCTGGTGAGAAGATGAAGTCTTACTTTTTGGTATGATTTTCTGACTTGTGGCTTTCAGTGTCACTTAGTGCATACTTTGGGTTTTTTCCCCAATCTGCAGCTGTATTCTTCAGCACTTGTGGAATGTGAGGATAACAATTCACAGAATCTTGACAGAAGCTTTGATGTGGAATCAGTAAAGAAAGAAATCCAGAGAGGAAGGAGGCTGGTGAGTGTCAATGATTTTATTACGTGTACTGGATGAACAGACCCCCAGGGGATGCATTAGAAAGAAAGTCTATTTGATTGGTAAACCAGGCATAGAGAACATCCCGGAGAGCTGAAAGAAGTAGGACCTGTATTGGAAACTTAGATTCAACAGAACATTTAATATTGTAAAATACACTACCACATACTTCATCAGTAAAATAGTTAAGAGTTAGGACACTTTTGGCTGTAAGTAGAGAAAACCCCAACTCAAACTGGCTTTAACAAAGAGGATGCTTATTTTCTCACTTACCAAGGGGAAACATCCCCTTCAGAGTTGCTTGCTTCAGTGGCTCCATGATGTCATCAGGGGCCCAGGTTCTCCCTCACTGCCCTCCTGTCCCCAGCATCAGCCAGTCCCCTCGTGGTCACAGGGTGGCTGCCGGTGGAAACTGGAGCACGAGGTTTTCTTGTTCGCATTCAGCGGAACGGAAAGGTCACCCCCACGCGTGGAGCCAGAGCCCTTCGGAAAGTTTAATCAGGTTGCACCCCTCTTTCTGCACCAGTTGCGGGAGGCGGCCATAACTAATCAGAATCTGCCCTTGGAGCCGGCTCGGCACCCCCTGGGTCATGAGGGGTCTGTCCAGGAAGGAAGCAGCGCTGAGGAGCTATCCTGCTGGGTCCATCGCAATCGACTTCCTCTGTGAAAGGCCCTTCTCAGCTTAGCAAGCAGGACGGCAAGTGTGGCACCTCACGCTCTGACCACAACCGCAGTGAGGTTAATGACTAGGGATGAACATTCATTTGGTCCTTGCAAGGTGGCAGCATCCTGTGATAGGTGTCACACACATGGCTCTAGGTGGACTTCCTGTTATAGGTGTAATGATGTCCATTTTATGAATAGAAGAAAAGGACAGTCCAGAGTGAAAGGGAACAGTCCAGATGGAATTCTGCAATTAGGATGTCTCGGGCAGTGGACACAATACCTCAGGAAGTAAATCATAAAAATGGAGCGTGTGGATCCTGCCCGGGGTGTCTGGACTGTTCTAGGAATTGGCAAGATGGCCACCGCCATCGTTGGTGCTGACGGGGCAGCTTCCCCAGGACGTGGGTGTGGTGAGAAGGGTGAGCGAGGCGCCCTTCTGATTAGAAAGCAACAGAAAGACCTCAACTGAAAGATCACTTTTGTTGCCCTTTGCTACGCGGCCCTGAGTGAGGAGACATAGAGCTAAGGAAACCCCCATTCGATTCTAGAGGTTGTTCACATGTGAAGAGGTGCAGGCTGAGGACTGAGGGCGGTTGACTGACTGGAGACATAATACTCCAAAAGAAGCAGGTTCCCTTGAGAGTTTTTGCAGACTTAGGGATGCGGATTTCCCTGCTGGGAAGACTCTGGGGTGGGGCTGGCAGTGGAGGACACAGGAGGAAAAAGTCGCCTGAAGTGAAAGTCCCCCACTGACGGACAGGGACCCCTGGGACTATGTGGGCAGGTACACCGAGCCCGCCCATGCGGGAGACAGGCCGGTGCGAGGCGGTTTCACTTCAGCAGGGCACAGGGCCACAGGCTCCTCCCACAGCCGGGGCTCAGGAAGCTTCCTAGTGGCGTGGGAGGTGACACAGGAAGATGGCGCAGGAGAATTCCAGAGAGGGGACGGGAAGAGGTGCAGGACTGTGGAAGGCCACAAGGATCAGGACACGTTGCTAACAGTGTGCTCGCCAGCTCCACGGGATGCTCTTGCCGGGTGCCCGGGCTTCCCCAGGGTGCCCAGGATTCACGAAACCGCTCCCTCCTTAGATGATGAGTCGGCTCTGGATTTCCACTGTCACAAGTAATGCTGCCGTAACACCTTAGTACGTACATCCTTGTGTCCTCGTTCGAGCGTTACTGGAGAAATGGAATTGCTGAGTCTAAGAGAATTCCCTTTAGCATTTTTGAGCTGTCCCCAGTGAATACTCTCGTGCATGGTGGATGGAAGAGCACTTTCCCCAGCCCTTGACAAAAAACGAGTACCGTTACTCTCGTTCACTTTTGTAAGGCTGATAGAGAAGTTTACCTTGCATTTCACTAGTCGCTGAAGAGGCTGGACGTTATTTCTCTTCAGGCAGCTCCCAGGGTCCCAGCTCTGGCAGTTCTCAGCGATCCCAGTGCCCAAGGGGTCCCACCACACGGCCGCTGCCCCCCACTGCAAAGCCCCCACTGCCCCTGGCCGCCCCATCCTGTCTCCTCGCACCTGTGCCCTGCACAGCCCCGCCCCGGGTTGAGCCCGCCCGTCTGTGGTCCAGCGGCGCTCGCTGCCACTCGAGCAGTTGCACAATTGGGAAAAACCCACAGCTGTGCTGCCCCGTCTTAGATTCATGGCCACAAACCTCAGAAGGGCCCTCAGCACTTCCCTTGTACGTTTGCGTCACCTCCACCTTTCACATTTATTATTTCACATCCTCTTATCTCTCTTTATTTTTTTTTTATTTTTTACTTTTTTTGAGACAGAGTCTCGCTTTGTTGCCCAGGCTAGAGTGAGTGCCGTGGCGTCAGCCTAGCTCACAGCAACCTCAAACTCCTGGGCTCAAGCAATCCTGCTGCTTCAGCCTCCAGAGTAGCTGGGACTACAGGCATGCGCCACCATGCCCGGTTAATTTTTTCTATATTGGCCAATTAATTTCTTTCTATTTATAGTAGAGACAGGGTCTCGCTCTTGCTCAGGCTGGTTTTGAACTCCTGACCTCGAGCAATCACCCGCCTCGGCCTCCCAGAGTGCTAGGATTACAGGCGTGAGCCACTGCGCCCGGCCTTATCTCTTTAGAACCTTTCCCAACCCCAAGCTGACTGTGCCTGATTGTCACTGAGAACATGGAAGCCATTAGACAGGAACTGCCCTCACCCAGGCTACTGCCCACCCGGCTCTGCCCCTGACTCTCTCAGCTCCCTCCTGTCAACCCTCCACGGGGGCTGTGGAGGACTCCCCTAAGGACCAGGCCCTCCACCCCTCCCATCAGTGCCTCCCTTTCTACTACTGGAGTGTTCCCCTCAGCACATAAACATGATCTGCTGGTCCTGTCATCTTATAAAGAAATCCTCCCGCATACACAAGACACTGGTCAAATACACTGTCACTTCTCTGTCCTTACTTAACCCTTCAGCAGCGCTCATCATACGGTTGTCCACGCCCTGCACTTTGAAGGACTTTCTTCTTTTGGCCTCCTTGACAAACACTCCCAGTGTCCTCTACCTTCCTGGCTGTTTCTTTCCAGGTGCCTGGGCTGCTTTCTCCTATGCTCAGTCTCTAAAATTTGGAGTCCCCCAAGGCTCTGTCCTTCCTGGAGCCGAATATCCTCCCTAGGGGGCTCACCCAGTTCCCATGGCTTAAAACCATACACATGCCAGGGACTCGCAGATCTGTATCTCCAGCCCTGTCCTCTCCCTGGAATCCCAGACTGCCAACCTGATGCATCCATCTGGATATCTTATAGCAGCACTGGCCAAAAAAGAATACAATTCCACCCCCTGTGCACACACGTGCACCCATCCTCATGCGCGCGCGCGCACACACACACACACACACACACACACACACTCCAGACAAACCTGCTCATCCTTCATCCCAATGAACAGCACCATTATTATCCATTGTCTAAGGATTATCTCTTCCTCATCGACCTCCCAGCCCAACATCAAGCCCATCAGTGTTACCTGCTAGATGCATTTGGCATCCATCCACCCACTTCATTCAGTGCCACTATACCAGCATGGTGAAGCCACTAACCTCCCTCTCTCAGTAGTTGCTGAAGAGAACTAACATTCACCCTGCTGCTCTCCTGCCATCTCTACCCCAGCCCCTTCTCCACCCAGCAGCCCAGCAGCCAGAATGATCTCTTTTTTTTCTTTTTTTTTGAGACAGAGTCTCGCTCTGTTGCCCAGGCTGGAGTGCCGGCATTAGCTACTCACAGCACTCAAATCCTGGGCTCAAGGATCCTCCTGCCTCAGCCTCCCGAGTAGTTGGGACTACAGGCATGCACCACCGAGCCCGTAATTTTTCTCTATATATTTTTAGTTGGCCAATTAATTTCTCTCTATTTATAGTAGAGACAGGGTCTCGCTCTTGCTCAGGCTGGTTTCGAACTCCTGACCTTTAGTGATCCGCCCGCCTCGCCCTCCCAGAGTGCTAGGATTACAGGTGTGAGCCACCACGCCCGGCCCAGAATGATCTCTTAAAAGCAGCAATCAGTTTTTGTTCCCCTTGCCCCAAGATAAAACCCCAACTCCGTAGCCTGGCTCTAAGCCCTACATGAGCCAGCCCTTTCTTACTCTTTTGATCTTACCTGAAACTCCCCTTGCCCACTTCCCTGCTCCAGCCACGCTGGCTGTCCCTCTGGTCCTTCCAGTCAGCTGGCCAGGCTCATCTGTGCAAGGACTTAAGGCCCTCAGCTTGGCATGTCTTTCCCCTGCATTTTTGCATGCTAGGAGCCCTTGTCATTACCCAGATCTCGGCTTCTGTGTCACCTCCTTAGAGGTGGTACTTTGCTGACCACCCAGTCTGTGGTAGGGACACAATGACATCGTGAGATGCTTTAAAATGTGCTTTATTTGACCACAGTACTTTCTTTAACTACTTATGTGCTTGCTTGCGCTGCTACGGGGACATCATGTGAGCATCTCCTGTTGGCAAGGTGACTTCGTTCTGCCTCCGGGTCACTCAGGCAGAGTCTGACGCTAGCAGCCTCGGGCCTGGCTGTGTTCCCCTTAACCAGTGAAGCTGCAGTGGGCACACACCGTCCGCCCAGCCACCCCCACACCACCTTCATCTGCAAAATGCCAAAAGCCCAGACAGATAGATAAAAGCAAGGGATCAAATAAATTGAACTAAGAAAAAAGTGTTGTTACTCAAGAGGGGTTTTTTTTTTTTTTTTGGTTTTTGCCCTACTACATAGATGCCAAAGAGGTTTCACTTACTGTAGCTCACGTGAGTGTAAGAAAGGTGCTGTTGCCCTAGGGAGGAATCAGACTGGGCGAGGAGGAGTGACTGGCTCGAGGTCACACAGCTCTTAATGGCCTAGCCAGCAGCTGCTCCTTGCCCCAGCCTCAGTGTCCCCAACAGTCCCCTTGCCTAGAGCTGGGTAAGTGTGTCAGCTCTGCTTTTTAGAAATCTCTTTTTAAAAGAAAGAAAGAGATTGTTTTTGAAACAAAAATCATTTTCTGCTTTTAATCAGATTATTAATCAGGTCTGTGCCAAGCATTCTAGTTAGCTGAGGTTTGGCTGAAATCTCCAAGTGAGCAGCCAAACGTAAGAACTCTGTCCCTAATGTTTGTAGCCGAGGATGGAATTTTGCTAATGACACCCAGGCTAAAAATATAGGGCTGCTGACTTAAATAATACTTAGTGATATTTTAAAGTTTTAACAAAAATTATGGAAAACAGGTGCTTACTTAGTAAAATCTATTTTTCTGTAGAAATGCTCATTTTGTCGTGAAAGAGGGGCCACCGTGGGATGCGACGTGAAAGCCTGTAAAAGGTCATACCACTTCTTCTGTGCCAAGAGGGACCACACAGTTCTGCAAGCTGATGAATCTCAAGGAATTTATAAGTATTGCATAAAACATTTTGAAAACCACATTTTGGGGGACTGGGGTAAAGAATGGTTAGATTATCACAAGGAGGCTTTTGGAACTAATTTCACGTAAATGGTTTTCAAATGAGAACATGGTTTGGGGGACCCCCAGGTGGGAACCTGACTTCACAAGATCTTCTCCAAATAACACAGGGAGAAAATAATGCACGGTTTTGTTGTTTTTGTGAGACAGAGTCTCACCCCGTCACCTTGGGTAGAGTGCAGTGGCATCATCCATAGCTCACTGCAGCCTCAAACTCCCGGGCTCAAGTGATCCTCCTGCCTCAACCTCCCAGAGTGTTAGGATTACAGGTGTGAGCCACCACCTTTGTTTAAAAAAAAAATTTCCCTGCATCTTTATCTTCCTGGTAGAAAGCATGGCTTATCATAGTGGCAGAGATGGCCTAAAGAGTGAGAGACAAACAGGAAAAGATCCGTCCTTCTAAAGCCACGGGGTCATCAGCTTCTCCCTCCATTTTGTGTGTGGAATAAACAGAATTTCCCATCACCACGTGTCACCACCACCATCTTGCCTACAGATAGCTACTAAACACAATAAAGAAACTATGCAGCAAGTATAGCAATTAATCATTCAGGCGTTAAAGAAATGCATCCTGTTTGTATTGCCTTTGGGTTTCAAATTTTTCCCAGTTTCCTTCAGTAATTCTTTAGCATTCATTTGGACCTGGTAAGGCAGATTTCAAGTCCAAGAATGATATTTGTTTTATCCAGAGAGAACCCTGGTCTTCTGACAAAAGATTTCAGTACAGTTAAATAATAGTACAGTTTGTTTGGTCAGAAGACATCAGTAAGCCAGTTAACTGGATTAATTCAGATCATGTTCAACTGAACAATTCTTTTTGGTGTGTAGGTGCAGCCCATGACATGTCACACACAGAGGAAGGATTAGGGCCGGGCGCAGTGACACGCCTGTAATCCCAGCACTCTGGGAGGCCAGGGCAGGAGGATCTCCTGAGCTGAGGAGTTCGAGACCATGAAAAATAGAAAGATTAGCTGGGTATCAAGGCAAGTGCCTGTAGTCCCAGCTACTTGGGAGGCTGAGACAGGAGGAGCCCAGGAGCTTAAGGTTGCCGTGAGCTATGATGCCGCTGCTGCACTCTAGCCAGGGTGACAGAGTGAGACAATATCTCAAACAAAACTAAACATAAAAAAAAATAAAAGATGAAGGAACAAACTATCTTAGAAACAATTTTCACCCTCTTAAATTTATGACACAGAATAAAAAAGAGAATGATGGTCTGGAGTTGAAGAGCCAGGTTGACATTTCCAACTTTTTCGGGGCATGTGCATAGATTCTACTTGAACATTTTATTTTATTTTATTATTTTTAAAAGACAGAGTCTCACTCTGTTTCTCGGGCTAGAGTACCATGGCATCAGCCTAGCTCACAGCAACCTCAAACCCCTGGGCCCAAGTGATCATCCTGTCTCAGCCTTCCAAGTACCTGGAACTACAGGCATGTACCACCATGCCAGGCTAATTTTTTTCTATATATTTTTAGTTGGCCAATTAATTTCGTTCTATTTTTTAGTAGAGATGGGGGTCTCGCTCTTGCTCAGGCTGGTTTCGAACTCTTGACCTGAGTTATCCTCCTGCCTTGGCCTCCCAAAGAGCTAGGATTATAGGTGTGAGCCACCACACCCGGCATTGAACATTTTAAATTTCAGTGAAATATATTTATGTTTTCCAGTCACCATATTCTGAATAATAAGATTAGTGTTAGGAGAACATTATTTCTGAAACTATTATTTTTGTAAGATTTGTTACATTCTTTTTTTTTTTTTTTTTTTTGAGATAGATTCTCGCCCTGTTACCCAGACTGGAGTGTCATGGCTTCAGCCCAGCTCACAGCAACCTTAAACTCCTGGGCTCAAGCATGCGCCACCATGCCCGGCTAATTTTTTTTCTATATATTTTTAGTTGTCCAGCTAATTTCTTTCTATTTTTAGTAGAGACGGGGTCTGGCTCTTGCTCAGGCTGGTCTTGAACTCCTGACCTTGAGCAATCCTCCTGCCTCAGCCTCCCAGAATGCTAGGATTACAGGCATGAGCCACCACGCCCAGCCAAGATTTGTTACATTCTTAAAATGATCTTTAAAACTATCATTCAGACGCTGAATTATTTTTCCCCCAAACCCCCATTTTTACCTTAGTGTTCCTGGCACTGTTTTATTAATTTATTCAATAACCATTTACATTATGTCAGGCATAGTTCTAAGTGCTTTATACATTTTTTTTTTTTGAGATGGAATCTCACTCTGTCACTTGAGATACAGTGCAGTGGTGTCGTCATAGCTCACAGCAACCTCAAACTCCTGGCTCACACCTATAATCCCAGCACTTTGGGAGGCTGAGGCAGGAGGATCACTTGAGGCCAGAAGTTGGAGACCAGCCTGGGCAACATAGTGAGACCCTCATCGCTACCAAAAAAAAAAAAAAAAAAATTAGCCTGCCTTGGTGGTGCACAACTATAGTCGCGGCTACTAAGGAGGCTGAGGTGGGGGGATCACTTGAGCCCAGGAGTTTGAGGTTGCTGTGAGCTATGATCACACTACTGTACTCCAGCCTGGGTGACAGAGCCAGATCCTGTCTCTAAGAAAAAAGGCGGGGGTGCTTGGAGAGGATAAGATGGAGTCTGAACCTCAGAGAAGTTATCTCCTGGTGAGAAAACAAAAAAGGTCAATGCTAGCTGCAGTACAGGGCATGCGGGAGCAGGAGGGGGTTTGCATGGAAGGAGCTTGGCCTTGAGAGTTGTGGACACTGGGGAATGGTGGGGACATGGGGGTTCGTCCTGATATTTTCTACACTTTCAATATGTTTGAAAAATTTAAGTACTCGCCACATGAAAGTGCTCAGAGATACAAAATCCAAAGGGGGGGGAGAGAATAATTTTGAATGGGTGAAGCTGGGAAGGCTGCCTGGAGGAGGTGGGAAGAAACCACACCTCCCGCTAGGCAAGGAGGGGTCTGCATCAGGGAGTCAGCACTATGCGGAAAGGAAGGGAGGGGAGCTGGGGCTGGGGAGGCAGAAAGGCTGGAAAGAAAATGGGACCGGAGTAGTTTCTCAAAATTCATCCATTTCTTCTTCATCATAGTCTGCTATGCTAACTTTTTTCTCTTGGAGGACATGGATCAATTCTAGGTTCCTTGTAGGGCAAATCTAAGCCCTGGGGGACACACTTGTTGCTTTTGAGAACTACTTTTGCCCAAATTAATGCATGCAATTTTGTGGTGTTTGTTGTTGAAAACCAGCAGAATTTTGTATAGTCGGATGGAAATTTGCCTGCCTTAGAAGATGCTGGATCTTTAGGTATCTCTATACAGTAAAATCCCACTGACCACGGTATGTGAACTCCTATTGCATAAGATGATTTAATCAGTACTCAGTCCTTTAGAGGATGTCACAATCTTCCTGAGGGTCACAGGGCAGAGAAGCATCCGTCTGCACTTGACGTGGGTCACTAATTTTACACAGGCTTAAACAGCACTTTTTAAAAACATAAAATAAATAAGGTAAGGCCATCATGAAAAATAGATTAGTACCTTTTAAAATCACAATGGACATCATTGGAAAACTATAAATAAAAATATTTTACAGTTCTTTGAAATTGCATATTTTCAGATTGTTATGCCAACAACATGCTCCTGTATCACTGAACATCCCTCCAAGTGGTAAGTTTCTAAAATTCAGTACTGTGGGTTTGAAGAAAGGTACATTTAGGTTATGAGGAGGACTAGTCTGATTTAGTGGCCTCATTGAATGAAAATATAAATTTTTGAGTTAAAATTTTATTTATTTTTCTTTTCTTTTTTTTTCATTTCGGCATATTATGGGGGTACAGATTTTAAGGTTTCAATAAATGCCCTTTCCCCCCCTCGCCCCACAAGTCTGAGTTTCCAGCATGACTATCCCCCAGATGGTGCACATCTCACTCATTATGTATGTATATACCCGCCCCCCTCCCCCCTGCCCAATACCCTATTACTGTAGTACCTATGTGTCCACTTAGGTGCTACTCAGTTAATACCAGTTTGCTGGAGAATATATCTGGTGCTTGTTTTTCCATTCTTGGGATACTTCACTTAGTAATATGGGTTCCAGCTCTAACCAGGGAAATATAAGATGTGCTATATCACCATTGTTTCTTAGAGCTGAATAGTAGTAGTACTCCATGGTATACATATACCACATTTTATTAATCCATTCTTGGATTGATGGGCACTTGGGCTATTTCCACAGCCTTGCAATTATGAATTGTGCTGCTATAAACATTCGAGTGCAGGTGTCCTTTTTGTAGAGTGTCATTGGATCTTTTGGGTAGATGCCCAGCATACCTATAGAACGGTCCATTTCGTTATTTACCATGTAATTGACTGATTTTTCTTCTCTGTCAAAGAAACCTATTCTCTCGCAGCCATCCTCTGATATCTTTTATCCTCACCGCACTCACAGGACCAAACTAACACACTGTAAAAAGCATTGACTTTTGTGACTGCCTCTCTTCTAGAAGAATATTAGACATTTTAGTAGATAAAATTAATAAAGTGCTGCACATTCCCTGAAGGAAAATTTCCTAAGAATGCATGGTTAGCATTTTGGTTCTAATGAAGACAAACTGGGCTTGGCTAACTAGAGTTATGGGATGTATGCACATTCATTCAAGAGTGGGACAGAAGTGTCTTAGCAGCACTGAATCTGGAATGTTCACTGTGAACTGGAGCCAGGCCCTCTTTGGAGAAGACTTAGTTCTGTGTCCTGCCAACTGCATTTTATGGTGGTAACACCATTCTGTAAACAGCATCTCCACCCTCATTTTTCAGTCACTACCCTTTTAAACTCATTACAAAATTCTATGAAAAATATTCCTTTCAATCAGTGTTTACTAACAGGGAAAGAAGACAATCACATTATTAGGTTAAAAATGATTATAACACTGTCTAAAATGAATCGTCTCCCTCAAGGAAACTAGTTTCTTTTGAATGATTCCAAAAATTTTCTGTGTATATGATCACACCTACTATTATACTTTGCTTTTTTTTCACATGCTATAGCTTAGAGATACTTCCACATCAGCACAAATGGAATATACCTCATTTTTAAATGTCTGCATAATATTCCATTGTATAGCTGTGACACAATTAGACTATTTTCTGCTTGATGAACATTTAGGTTATTTCCACCTTTTTCTATTACATTTCATACTATAGTAACATTGTTAGTTAACATACTATAGTTAACATTGTTCTCCATACATCTTTGTGTCTTTATGTAACATATTAGGAAAACTTCCTATAAATTGCTGGGTCAAAGAATATAAACAATCAAACTCTGGACCAAACTATTGGCTAGTTACCTTCCAAAGAGGCTGCACCAGCAGTACACATTTACCCATGTTCTTGCAAACACACATATTAAACATCTTCATCTTTATCAATCTGATAGGTGAAAAATGTTTTATGTTGCATATCTTTATTTATGGGTCAAATTAAGTGCATTCCCATATCTTTACACCAATTTTTTTTCTTATGACCCAATTTGTTCATTTTCCTATTCCATGAACCCTCTCCTTAGGGTTCCCCATTTGCCCATTTTTCTACTCCCCCGATTATTTCTCTTTTTTGCATTAACTTTTAAGATCTTTTTATATTTTAAAAATTAACCCTTTGGCCGGGCGCTGTGGCTCACGCCTGTAATCCTAGCTCTTGGGAGGCCGAGGCGGGCGGATTGCTCAAGGTCAGGAGTTCAAAACCAGCCTGAGCAAGAGCGAGACCCCGTCTCTACTATAAATAGAAAGAAATTAATTGGCCAACTGATATATATATAAAAAATTAGCCGGGCATGGTGGCGCATGCCTGTAGTCCCAGCTACTCGGGAGACTGAGGCAGAAGGATCGCTCGAGCCCAGGAGTTTGAGGTTGCTGTGAGCTAGGCTGACGCCACGGCACTCACTCTAGCCTGGACAACAAAAAAAAAAAAAAAAAAAAAAAAAAAATTAACCCTTTATCATATGTGGCACAAATGCTCAGTCTAAGTTTGCTGTATCTTTTGACTTTATATTAATAATAATTTTTGGCATATAACAGTTTTATATTTGGCCAGGTGTGCTGGCTCATCCCTGTAATCCTAGCCCTTTGGAAGGCTGAGGCAGGAGGATCAGTTGAGATCAGGAGTTTAAGACCAAACTGAGCAAGAGCAAGGTGCTGGCACTATTAAAAAAATGGAAAAATTAACCAGGCTTGGTGGTGTGCACCTGCAGTCCCAGCTACTCAGGAGACTGAGGCAGGAGAATCACTTGAGCCCAGGAGTTTGAGGTTGCTGTGAGCTATGATGATGCCACTGCACTCTAGTCCAAGCAGCAGAGCAAGACCCTATCTCAAAAAAAAAAAAAAAAAAAAGAAAGAAAAAGAAAAAAGAATTCTATATTTTATGTAGTTAAACAGTAATCTTTTCCTTTATAGCTTCTAATTTTTACATGATTTATATTTTTGGTTGGGTTTTCAGAAGCAAAAAGAAAAAGAGAAAGGAAGAAAGGTCTCCAGACAGACATTCTTATACAGGTAATTTGACTTAATTTTTATAGCTTTACATTTCTTCATATGGTTCTTATTTCAACCATTCTGAATTTCCAGGGAAATGTACTTTCCAAATCATCTGAATGAACAGCATTTGTATAATACACATCTTCATTTGTGTTCTCAGCCCCCGTGGAGCTGAGACTGCTCCTGAAGGTGTTTTGGAAGAATCCCATATTCAGGAAAGTCTTAGATAACTTCTAGAAGGTAGAACCATACTGAGATGAGTATTAATGGGCAGCTAGAAGTTCCAAGCACACAACCTTGAGGAAGTGACATACCCACAGCGTATAGTCAGTCGTCCTTACAGAGCCACGCATGTCCTAGCTGCATGGTCCACACCTGATCTATTTTGCAACTCCTATCAACTTCTGGATTATTATATGTAAAGTATATGAAAATATTTTGGGGATTTGAAACAGTTTTTACATATCAGCTTATATAAGCTAAATTCATATGAGCCAGCAACCTTCGTTTCTTCCTGTTTATACAAGAGGTGCTTGTCAAACACCTCTTGATGTTTGATTACACAAAACAAAAATACATCTTATGTTTACATCCACCTAAGAATAGGGGGCATGATTCTCACCACAGGTATATCATTCAATTACACACAGCAAAAGCCTGGTTTTCATTGCATGCAATATTAGATGCCGATAGTAAAATCAGTGTAAAGTAATCTTGATTTTTCTCTCCTTCCATTCTAGGCTGCTGAAACAATGAAATTAAATACATACATGAGACAAGTGAAGGAGGAGCCTGGCAGACACACAGGTTTGCTCTAAGTGACATCTGTACCAAATATGTCCTAAACAAAGTACTTGCAAAAATGTCAACCCATGCCTTTCAAAAGTGGTATTCCACTTTATTCTTCTAGACTTATAGTAACTAAGAAGAGTATAAACCTTTATCATAACGATGCATCCTGTCATACCCCCAGGATAGCAAAATAACTTGGGTTGGAATCTTTTCTTCAGTATAAAGAAAAAATACACTTCTTAATAAAGACGCTGCCAGGCTTGCCTGCGCTCAGAATCCAGTGATGTGCCACCCCTCTCACACTGTGACGCCAGCGACTGCAGCTCTCTGTTCCTTAAGGAAATAGACATTCCATTAACGATGCACAGTAACCGTGACAGGAGTTGAAGCTAAATTTTTTAAAATCCTCTTTATTCATCTAGTTATTGTAAGCAGAGATGTTTTTGTTTACACTTTTTGTAACATTTCATTCATTGTTTCAGCTGGCAAAAAATGAGGTATGATGCAATTACAACCAATAGAAAAAGCGGAAGTGCCGTTTCATTTGACTAATTATGCTCCTCCACTGCGGGCAAGGCCTGAGGAAGGAGGCATGGAGTGATTCACCATCAGCTGCCCTGAGACAGACCATTTCCTCCTAAAGTGTTTTTCTTATTCTCAGATGCAATCGTGAAAGCTCCTTTCCTTAAGAAATGTAAGGAAGCAGGACTTCTTCATGACTTATTTGAAGAAATATTAGACAAACTTCATTTGGTTCAAGAAAGACTCATGGATGAGAGGACTTCGGAATCAGGTACTTAAATACCAGTATTTCTAGGTATAAAGAGTTCTCGTAGACCTAGGTGTGAAACAAAACCAAACCAAGAAAAAAAAAAGACCCATTTCATTTTTCCTTTCCTGTATCTCATTCTTTAATAAAAATAATTGTACCACATCTACTGTCTTTTATAAATCAACAGGATGTGGGTAATTCAAACCAAGTAATTTTGTCAAAGGTATGCCGAGTCGTGATGTGTTTTCCTGAAGTGCCTAACAGGTTGGCCAGTTAAAGCTCGATTCAGTCGCACATGTGCCCCACTGTCCCGCATGTGTGTCATTAAGATCTGAGGGCCGGGCGGGCGCGGTGGCTCACGCTCACGCCTGTAATCCTAGCACTCAGGGAGGCCGAGGCGGGCGGATTGCTCGAGGTCAGGAGTTCGAAACCAGCCTGAGCAAGAGCGAGACCCCGTCTCTACTATAAATGGAAAGAAATTAATTGGCCAACTAATATATATAGAAAAAATTAGCCAGGCATGGTGGCACATGCCTGTAGTCCCAGCTACTTGGGAGGCTGAGGCAGAAGGATTGCTTGAGCCCAGGAGTTAGAGGTTGCTGTGAGCTAGGCTGACGCCACAGCACTCTAGACCGGGCAACAGAGTGAGACTCTGTCTCAAAAAAAAAAAAGAGTAAACATTTCCAAAATTCTTTTATTCGTTTATTATTTTCTCTAGACCAAGCACTTCTCAAACTTGAGTGTGCCCAAGAATCACCCGGAGGGCTTGTGAAAACACAGATAACTATGCCTCCTCCCACCCCCCAGGTTCTGATTCAGTAGAAACACTGAGAATTATTTCTGACATTTGACATTTCCTGGGCTGCTGTGGCTGCGGTCTAACACTGACTTGCCGCAATAGATGACCGCTCTCTTGACTTCCCTGTTTGCGGTTATTTTCTGAGGAGGTTCTGCCTATACAAATTATTTAAATGAAACTTCTTAATACTGAAAATGTTTTTCTCTCTCCAGAGTATGAAGAAATTGGAGCTTCACTTTTTGACTGTAGACTGTTTGAAGACATATTTGTACATTTTGAAGCAGGTATATGGAGTTATATAATAACCAAACAGCACAGTTTAGAAATATGTATCATAGATATTGAAATAATATCATGGCATATAGAATGATAAAAATCACTTTATAAGAATGTTCATTGTTTTATTAAATGGAAATCCATTACAAAAACGGTATGCCCGCCACCACACACAGAATAAAACAACATATATATGCGCACAGAACAACTGCACCCAGTGGAGACAGTAGGTATTGTAGGTGGCTGGATTACAGTGATTTCTTTTGTCTATTCTTTTAGTACTATAGTTTCCAAATTTTCTACATATACATGAATAGTTTTATAATCAGAAAAAAACTCAAGAGTAGAAATAAAAATTGATTCCAAAATTGGAGAGTGTTCTGGCTCACGTGTGTGGGCACAGGCAGGTGGCCTCCCTCTCACTTGGTAAGAGATGCAAAAATTTTACTTGTCCCAACATTAATTTTCAAATCTAATCTAATCACTTATCAGTGGGAGGTGGGTTGTGAGAGATTCTAAAAGTTCATCAGAAAAAAAATATGAGCAAAAATAGGAACTTTTTGTAGGAGAAAAACTAGTGTGAGTTTGGGGGAGGGAGTCTTTTTTTTTTTTAGAAGTTTGAACACAAATATACAAGTCTTAACTTTTATAAAACGTCAACCATTTACTAAGTGAGTCCTCCTTTCAGCATGACGATGCCTTCAAGACAGGCCAGATTTCCCCTTATTTATGAGTCTGTCCCGAGTTCTCTCTCAAGGGTGCTGCACACCGTTGGGCAGTCTGTGCACTGTCCCACAGAAATCAGTGTGAAGGCCACCCCCCCAAGAAGGCACACACACAGCGCCCCACACTCTGTTCCTTCCACAAAGATATTTGTCTATCCAGCAAGTGGTATTAAGACAATAGGTTTTCCCCGTGGAGAAAACATTAGTTCATATCCCTATGCCAATATATACTATCTTTCTCATTTGGGCTTTCTATATTACACACATTTCTGTTTGAATTTTGTATTATATTTACAATCAGCAGAAAAAAATATTTTTAAAAATCTCCTAAACATAGTGACTCTTTTAACAGTCTCTTGAAGATGTCTATTAATGGAAGTATCCGGTTTTTGTTTTGTTTTGTTTTGTTTAAGCAGCAGCCTTTAACATCTTTTTCTAAAAAGCTTTAGTTTATAGGGGACTTTGTGTTTTTTTCATGTAAAAGTTACACATTGGGAACACGTCACACATCATTGCTTGGACGGGCTGGCTGGGAGCATGTACAGTACAATGCAGTGTTTGGGAGGAGCAGGACTGTAGGAGACACTACTTTCAAATGCACAGGGACCAACCTAAGAGGCTTAACTTTTGACACCTAATTGACAAAGACTTGCTTAATCTAGCCTTACTAATGTTTCAAGTGAACTACAGGCAGCATGTATTCTGAAGAAAGATTATGTATCTGTGTACTTTTAAACTATTCAATTTTGAGGCTTTTAAAAAATTATGTTGCCTCTGGGTACTATTCATTATTTATAAGGGCCTAACTAAAGTTAACTTCTTCCTAAGTTTCCATGCTAAAAGTCTTCCTATTTCTGAATAAAACCAAAAGCAAACGTTTATGTAACATTAAAAATTGGATGCAGTTGTATGAAAGATTTGCCCTTATCCTTAATATTAGTCGCATTCTCTCTCCAGTTACCATCTCTCAGCAAGTGGATGTAGTATAGCATGAAGGTGATATAGGCACTGGTTTTTGTGTTTTTTGCTATTCATTATAGATATTTTGCACAGACACTGTTTTTAAGTTCTTAAAGATATATATAAGGGACTTGTTCTGCTATAAATGTATATCAAAATCTTAAAGATTTACTGACCAGCTTTATTGTGTGATAAATGCTAGAATTCTATCCTGAATTAGAAAACAGAGGAAGCAAAGGCATAAAAGAACCAGTTTTTGCTCACAAGACTCTAGACTCTTTTCATTTGAAGCACAAGTATTGTGTACTCTGTACTTGCAGGTGAAAGGGACTAGAAATAGTACATTATTTCTAACAAAACTTCTGAATAATCTGAAATCATTTTTTCTTTTCATAGCAATACAGAGTAAAGTCCATGAATCTGAAAAAAGGCTGCAGAAGCTAAAGAAAGAGATTGAGCTACTTCAGGACCTAAAAGAAACCTTGGGCTCTTTTCAAGAAAATAGAGACCTTAGGTCAAGTTCCACATCCATATCGTCCATGTCTTCTTAAGGATTACCATGTCTTAAACCAGGCAAAATGGAAATCCCAGAGATCTGTGAAAAACTGCATCTCAGGACTAGGCCTCTTATCTCACCCTAGGCCTGAACTGCAATTCCCACCAGCTCTTACCTCTTCTTGCCAATGGGGTGTTTATTGCCTCCCTCTGTTATCATCGCACTTCTACTGGCCCTCTCCACCAAAATGTTTCTCAGATTCTGCTTCAGTTAATTGGATCCTGCTTCCCATCTCTCCCACCCTCTGTACTTCAAATCCTGTGGGTGGCCACTTGCTGGTGCATTCCCTCCCTCCACGGTGATCTAAGTGGATTCCAGTAATATACCAGGTGCTATATAATATACCCAGGGCCTTTGCACATCCTGTTATGATCTTAACTCCTCTTTCAGCTTTGCCTACCTGCTCCTCCTGCAGATCTCACTATAAATCTTCCTTTATTCCCTCTGAGAGGACTTTTCCTTCACATCATTTCTCAGTATAATAGTATCTTACATCACACCAATAGAGTACAAGCTCTCTGAGGGCAGAAACTCACCATTCCTGTGTTTTGCTCACTCTCACATTTCCAGCACCTACTATGCTCAATAAATGTTTGTAGACAAAATGCATAAACTGTTCTCAACTTTTGAGACTAGTTCCAAAATGAGACCGTAATGGATGTCAGATATAATAAATTTGAATGTACTACTACACTTGTAACAAATTTACCTGTCTTCATGTCACAAAGTCTACTTTTTAAAAAATTTCTTTTTTTTTTTTTACTGCTCAGCTTAAGCAAAGAATAAAATTTTTTTAAAGAATTTATTTTCAGCCTCAGTTATCACATGGGCATTTGTCATCTTCAAAGCAAACACCTAATTTTTAAACTGGACTCTTTGAATAAGAACATCAGTGGGAATATCCAAGAAGGAAAAAAAATTAATAGTAAACGTTTTTCTCAACTGAACAATATACAATTCAGATTTTTATGCCCACACCAGCATGCCTGACCCCTGAAAACTTCACATTCACAGTTCTAATTCTTTAACATGGTCTTCTGATTTGCAGTAATGCTACATTTCAACATGGGTTGGAACTGAGTCCCAGCATGATGCGTGGCCTATCACAAGCACTCAAAAACGATTTGTTGAAGGAAAAATATGACACAGATGAAAAGGGGCATTCTATTCCTGCTGTAATGGCAGTCCTGGCCCAAGTCCTTACTACCTGAAGGACAAAATCTAAATCAGTGGTTTTCAAATTTGGCATGTCAGAATCATCTGGGATACTTCAAAAACTGTAGAGGCCAAGACTCTATTGAGACCTGAATAAAGATTCCCCCTAGTGTCACTGTCCAACCAGGTTCATTTGCCTGCTGCCCAAGAGGAAGCCAGCACACTAAGACAGCAGAGAAATAGTTTAATTCCACATAGTGCTAAACAGGGAGACAGGAGGAGTTTCTCAAATCCACCTCCCCAGGAATTTGGGAGACAGGGTTTTTAAGGGTAGTTTGGTGGGCAAAGGATTAGGCCATTAGGTTTGCTAGTTGGTTGAGTTCAGGGTGGGACCTTCAGTTCCTTGGTATGGGCACCTGGGTCAGCCAATCTGCTAGAATGCAGGTTCTTAGGTGGAGTCACAAGACCAGTTGAGTCAGCTTCTTGGTATGGGCCTCCAGCCTGTGTGAGTCAGCCAATCCACTGGAACGGCGGGACCTGGAAAATATCTCAGAAACTATCCCTAGGTTTTGAAAGGGTAATCTTATCTACAGAGAAAGCTAAGAATGTTTATGACCACCAGATTGCTGACTCCAGAGTAGCACATAAGGGGAGAGTGACTAATTATCATTATTTTAGCTGAGCCTGTGCCTTATTTTTAGCTAGACCCTTAACATAGTTCTTGCCTTGCACCCCTTTATTAATTCATAGGGGCAGTTTCCCCAGTCTAAGTGATCACTGCAGCTTCAACTCCCTATCCCAATATAACACATCTTACAGCAATGAATTGTCTTGATGACATGATCGTCATTAAAAAATCTTTGTCCTCACTTTACTGTCAAATTGAACCCGTCATTCTCAGCAGGTAACTTGGCACAAATGAGCACAAGTGTTCGGGGTCATAAGGTAGGCAAATATTGGCTAACCGCTAAAACAGACTTGGGTGTCTGTATGTCAGCTATCCCTCTACTGAAGAACTTTAATCAAATTCTTTAGTCTATATGGGAATAATTCTATCTGATGGGACAAAATAGGGACCCTAAATAAGAAAATGTATGTGAAGCACAGAGTGCAATGCCTGGCACAACGTGGGAAACAAATGTTATCTCTCACACTCCCCTTGCCAACATTTCCTGGCTTATTTTCTCCATTCTAACCACACAAACTTGCTTATGGTAAGTTGTGGAAGGCTCATCAGCCCCCACCTCTAAGCCTTTGCTTGTGCCCATTGTTTTGGAGATGAGCTAGGAGGACACTTTGTGTTTCCCCCTACACTGCACAAGCATAATCTTCAAACCATCTGCTTGTCATGTTAACCCTATTTGGTTTCCTCTATTATGAAAAGCTATTTATAAATATCTGTTTGTGTTGTTAATTCCTAAACCTATCTCCCCTCTCTCCCAATAATTTATATGTTACTTGAGGATATGGACTGTCTTTCCCTTCATTTCTAAGTACCCCTCTGCAGTGAAGATTCAACTGTACCATCTTTTCAGCAGGTATAAAATCCAAGAATTTCTGTGATATGTGTTTGTGTATAGTTGAAAATCAAGCAGTTGACATGTTCATAGCAGTACCTATCTTTAGCCTGATACTTGCTAAGAATACACTACTGATTTTTTTTTTAAATTGTAGTATACTATACATAACATAAAATTTACCATCTCAACCATTTTTAAGTGTACAGTTTAGTGGCACTAAATACATTCACAATATTGTGTAACCATCACCACCATCCACCCAAAGAACTCTTCATATTGCAAAACTGAAACTGTCCCCATCAAACAACAGCTCCCGGTTCTCCTCTTTCCCCAGCCCCTGGAAACCACCACTCTACTTTATGTATCTGACGACTCTAAGGTACCTCATACAAGGGGATTTCACACAGTATTTGTCTTTTTGTGACTAGCTTATTTCACTTAGCATATTGTCCCCAAGGTTCAACCATGTACATCATGTGTCAGAATTTCCTTCCTTTTAAAAGTTGCATACTAATGATTTTTGAAGGGGAAAAACAACTCTACAAGCCTATTTTAACGGGTTACTTTATTAACATGTCATTTTAAACATAGCATACATACTACAATATCAAACATTGTTCCAGTAAGAAGTTCAAGAGTACATTTAGGGCTATTTTAAGAAATGTAAATACTTTGGCTTCTGTTATTACATCAGACAAAAAAAAAAAAAAATCAAAGAACAGTTTCGTCTCCTGCTACGATTAACAAAACCAAGTAGAAAAATAAGAGCGTGTATTAAAGAAAAAAAAACTCAAGTACTTTTTGAAGGACGTATTCTCTTTACTACCATACATACTCATACAAGCTACTCAGTAATGTGAGAAGTGGTTCTTAACCTATATTAGGAACTCAGTAAATATTTGTTGAATGTATTATCTATGGATATGGATCTACTACTTCAATTTGTGCTTTTTTTAAGAAGTTTGCTTTTCAAGTAAAAGAGCAATAGTAAACACACCAAAGTTCTCGTTTTATTCAGATCATAAGCCTACAGAACAGTGATTGTTACGAACACTACCCATCATAGCTAATAATAAAATTAATACGCTTTTATCAAACTAGTAAGAAAAATTCTATGATGTTTTGGGACTAATTCTAACCTAGTAATTCACTGGGCTTCAATCACTTGTGATATGCTCAAGAAAAGGGACTGGGACTGCTACTAGGTTTGAATTTATTTCACCTACCGATGAATTCTTATCTTTGGGGTCTCACTCCTCCTGACACTCCAATACACACACGTTTAAAAACATGACTAAAAACAGTAGCTGCAGCATGTATTCGCCCTTTTGTCAGTTTGGCTCTGGAAACTATTCATGCTTCACCGCTCAGAAGAAGGACATCGGAGAAGGAAACAAAATTCACTGAGGGAGCTCACACAGATGCAGATGAGTTCACAGACCACAGAGCAAAACAGAGCTTTGTTGTTAAAGTGAGCTCACTGGACACACGTGATAAAACTCAAAAGCTGACCACTGTTACACACCAAAGTCACGTCTCATAACCAACTGTCCTTTAAATAGGATCTTTTCAGGAAGAGCATAATTTCCATCTTTTTCAAGATCGAAATTATGCTAAATGTTATACCTAACAGTTAAAAGCAGAGTAACATCAAAGGTGAAAGAAAGGTGGTAGAGTTTCAAATAAGCAAATTTGTGATGGTATTTGGCCTAGATAAAGTAGATAAAGCAAATTCCAGTTAGTCCTGTAAGAAAGCTGATTTTAAGAACCACTTCTTCAAGTCATATGTAGCAGATAAGATGATTTGGCAGTCATAATTTAGGAAGGCAAGAGTATACTGCATGTCATTATTTTCCTCTTACAAGTTAACATTTACAGAAAGGGGGCCAATTTAACTTGAGTTCTCAAATTCTATTTTATTTGGGTAAGTAGTAGAGATTCTAACTTATATAACATTCACTTTTACCCAAAGGAAGTTTCTTTCGTCATCAAGGTTTCATGGATAGTTCTAAATTACTATTCTTTATGCACTTAAATCTTAAGAGAAATCCTGGCTAACTTAGAAATGTATCCTTACGTAATTATCGTTTCAATAGGTTTAACTCATATTAAGTTGAATATTACTTTGATACACCTTGAAGTTAAAAGAAGTCATCAATAACTCAAGCACACGAACAAAAGCCTCAAACAATCTTAACTATTCCTTCACAGTAAGTATCCTGACCTAGCAACTAACACAGCACTTCAACAAGCCCCAGGTCAGCACCCTTAATTCAGGGCGGGGCCTCTACGTTCATCTCGCCATTCACACACTACCACAACTCCCAGTATCCAAAGGTTGTTGACGTGTAACCTAGGAGAGTTGTCCCCAACTTCTACTTTTCAAGTTCAGAAAGTCCTCTAATCAAAAAAATTAAAACCAAGAACAGCTAAACTCTCTCCCTTTTACAATGTTCCAGGCCAAATGTAAGAAAGGCCACATTTAAAATACACGTATCTGGACACAAGAGTTATTTAAAATGGGCTCAAGAAAAGCCGTTCATCTTTCATATATTCCTAAGCAGAGAACTGTGTCTCAGATGTGGGGAAAACAACCTGATGGATTTTTACCTGCAGAATCACATCACTCGTAGAGCACAAGCTGGACAACAGTGCCTCAGCGCACTCACACAAGACCCAGCGCCCTTGTGCTTCAGTTCTTAAAGGCTCCACATTTACTGGCTTTAGCAATGAATTCCTTTAGCAGGGGGCCATCCATTTGCCAAAATGCTGCAGTCTGTGTAACTTCTGTCAAATGATTGATGCAAAACTTAAAGCAGAATTCTTCTAAATCCTGGATACACACAACAAAAATAAAAACAAAAACAAGCCTTTTAAAATTAACTTTGATTGACTTATTTCTCTCCAAGACCCTCACCCCAAATCTGTAGCCCTCCCCCAAAAAAGATATTTGAGGCCAAATACCTGAAACTAGGCAAACAGGCGACCACAGGAAGGGATCAGAAAAACACATGCTATTTCCTCGTAACACAGTAAAAGCAATGGTTCCCTAACTCGACTGTGATCCTTCAAAACATAGACACACACACACACACACACACACACACACAAGATCACGATGAACAGGTTTCCTGCATGGTCATTACATAGTCCAGTTACACTCAAAGACATTGTTGTAAAAGGCAGAATGCCACTTTAGTTCATATAATGGGTTTTGTCATATTTGAGAAATCAGAGAAAAGAATTAAGAAGTGGATTAAGTTTAAGAAAGAGAAGACTTTAAAAAATAGAAAAGTGATGAAGAGATGTGGTCAACTTAAAGTGACAGATTAAAAAGAAAATCCCCCAAACCTTAAATTCATTTTCATGCTCTCCTAATAAAAAAATGACTTTGTTTTTAAAGCCACATGGTATAATACACTACAACTTCCACCACATTAATTTCTCACATAGTCAACCCCAGAGAAGTATATTTACACAGATTGGATTTTTCAGTCAGATAAATGGAAGTCGCCAAATACTAACATTCAGAAGAAAGTAATATATACAAGTGGTCAAAAAGAACAATTTAAAAATCAATTTCTGCCTATGCTAATACATCCCCTTTCATCGCTGGCAAAACTCCAATATTGTCAGTTCCTTCAAATGTTAGAACATATCTAATATATTTATTAAATCAATTAGGTACCTAGAATATATACAAAGACTAAATATATAAAAGCAAATCACACTAAAAGCTCTTATCATAAGTAGCTTGACTTTTATAACTTGGCCAGCTGATAAATTCTACACTGAAGGTCAATACTCAAGGTTCTATCAAACCAGAAACTCAGCAACATTTAAACTGCAACATTAAAACTTCACATTTCCTGCCACCATGAGGTGGGAATTTTAGACAGAGTGGGGAAGGGCCCACACAAATATATAGAAAGTCCCCTGTTCCGCTTTCTCAGAGCAAATAATGATTTCCTTGTTCTAAGGGTCCTTCTCCCTGGAGGAAAGAGGCTCTAGAGTAAACTCAGGAAACCCACACAGTCATGTAACCGTTAAGAGATAAAACCACACCTACTGTGTACCAGCTAGTTGCTGCCAGAGTTTTGTTTTCTAGATAATTCAAAATGCATTAAAAATGTTAGCACAATCTCTGGATCCATGTCGTTTAATCAGAGATTCTCTGTGGGCTAAATGTACATCTGAATGCTCTGTTATCATAAATTAAAATGTTGAACTATATAAAGCATTCCCTCTCAGATTATCATTCAAGAAAAAGCACTACTCCTGGTATTATAACCCAATGATTAATAAATAGCTCTTAGGACTAAATTATATTCCACAGGCACATAAAAGTCACATTTTTTTTTTCTTTTGCCCAGAGAACATGACACTATAAAAGTCACATTTTAATCTTACTTAGTTATCAAAAATGGGAAACTATTTACACATAACTTAGATACTACACTTGATCTTAGCCAAAAGGCTGAGAAGCAATATTTACACATAACTTAGGAAGTAGCCAGTCATAAGTTCTTCAAACCATATAATGTATAAGGATACTGAAATTTTAATTATATAATTTCAAATTCACAAGAAAAGAATATCCTAAATTCTAGATCGTAAAACCTTATCACTTTGGAGTCTAGTGATTTGGAATTCAAGATCTTTTTTAGGGTGTATGAAAAAGTGAGTTTAAAGTGAGTTTAGTCAGCTAACTGCGCAGAAATTACCTTGATTTGTTCACATGTAGGTCCATAATAAAAAAAAATGGAAAAAAATTACCTTGAGTATAAACTTTAAGAACTTTTTACACAGTACAGTTATGCAAATGATGCTAATTACAATCACTTCATACACGTATGAAAATAGTTGTATCAAACTGCCTTCCTTTTTCCTCCAATTAGTTTGAATTAGTGAGATATCTTGGTATTCAATATATGTTTAACAGTTTCAAACACTGAAAGTCAAAACTAGGGAATACTGAAAACAATTTAAGTCTGGGTTGTTTAAATAACTAATTGAATCTTGGTTAAGATGGATCTATGTAAAAGGAAGCACTTAATGCATCTGGAGAGAAAGATTTGAATTTGCAAGTTCTTTTACATGAACCAGAGAATGGCATCGTCAAGCAGAATGACTTAGCAAGCAAAGCCCTGACTTGGTTTACCTTTGATAGGTGAATTAATAAACACCCTTCTGGTGAGATCCCTCTTTAATATCCCAAAAACCTACATGAGCTGTTCATCTCATTCTGCAAATGATCAGATCTTCAGTTACCTAGACAAGACAATGCAACTCTTGCCCAACTAATAAGTCAACTGTAACACCACTGCTGGGCTTTAAATAAAACAATTCCAAGAAGGACAAGAAGGATCATTTGACCAGTAAATGAAAAAAGTTCATGACAGAATGAAAGAGTCTTCTTACAGCCCATGGAATAGGGAAGTAGAGAGGGTGTAAAATCATAGGGTCTAATACAGTCTTCTTTGTATCAGAAACTAAACTCTATGTTTATGACATTCTGTGGTGAAATTATTATGGTGATTCTGAATGAGGCAAATGAGATAAAATGCCACATTTATTGTTATTAGCAAAGACAATAAAAATTAAAAATTCCTATTCTGAAGTAATTTATAGATTCATTCTAAATCTTTAAACATTTAAACTATTCCAATCACTATACATACTCTGAAAATAAGTTGTTTTTCCTTTCCACAAATTTTCTTTTCTTTTTTTCTTTTTTTTTTTTTTTTTTTTGAGACAGAGTCTCACTCTGTTGCCCAGGCTAGAGTGCCGTGGCATCAGCCTAGCTCACAGCAACCTCAAACTCCTGGGCTCAAGCAATCCTCCTGCCTCAGCCTCCTGAGTAGCTGGGACTACAGGCATGCACCACCATGCCCGGCTAATTTTTTCTATATATGTTAGTTGGCCAATTAATTTCTTTGTATTTATAGTAGAGACGAGGTCTCGCTCTTGCTCAGGCTGGTTTCGAACTCCTGACCTTGAGCAATCCGCCCGCCTCGGCCTCCCAGAGAGCTAGGATTACAGGCGTGAGCCACCGCGCCCGGCCTTGTTTTAATTTTTTTTGAAAGCATACCTTCATGGTGAGGGGTTTCAAACATATTCATTCACTCACTCAATTCAACATATATTTTGAGTGCTGACCCACTGTGACAGACTCCAGGGAATCGTGTACATGCAGCCTCTCTAAAGGAACGGTTTTTAATGTGTTTATATTTCATGTGAGAAAAATGGAAACTAGTAAACGAAATGACCTGCTGGCATGGGCAGAAGTGGCAAAAGGTTCTTCTGTAAACTTCCTGGGACAGATTTTAGCTTTGTGAGGGAAGAACCTCCAGCAGCTAGCGCTGTCCGCCTCTGCCCAGGCCTTTCTGGCTGGTGTTGGTCTACCCAGAGCAAGGGGCTCACTAACACGGAGGGGGAGTGAAGGGAGGCAGAGGAGATTCTAAAATCAATCACCAAGTGGAGGTGAAAGGCATTGACCCAGCTGAAAATTATATCACTGGGAGGAAATAAAATCTAAAGAAATAGCATTTCTAATAAAGAGGTTCATGATGTCACAGGAAGGGTAGGAAAAGAAATCATACCTCCATTTTCTATTAAAAATGATTTCCTTTGATCATCATTCCATCCCTTGTCAGGCTGCAGATAAGGTCAGATATATCTGAGCTTATCAAATATTTATAATCATAATATAACCTCAAATAAAAATAGGATACAATTTGAAAATGCAAGATATAATGGTCAACTTCGATCAGTAATTGTGATAAATATGAAGTTTGTCCTCTGTTATACCCCACAGGCCACAGCTGCAGTTCTTTGCAGGTGATTAATAAATTCCTTGATACCAGATATTCTGCCTTGTCAAATGATGACAAAATGCCTATAAGAATAGGCTAATTGTGTCATTTGACATGCATACCTTTGCTAGACATCTTGAACCTCCAAGACTATTTATTGCTCTCTATCTTGCTCATGGAATCTACCTTTTATTCTCTATAATTGTTTTTTTTTGTTTTTTTTGAGACAGAGTCTCATTCTGTTGCCCAGGCTAGAGTGCTGTGACAACAGTCTCACTCACAACAACCTCAAACTCCTGGACTCAAGCAATCATTCTGCCTCAGCCTTCTGAGTAGTTGGGACTACAGGCATGCACCACCATGCCCAGCTAATTTTTTCTATATATTTTTAGTTGGCCAATTAATTTCTTTGTATTTTTAGTAGAGACGGGGTCTCGCTCTTTCTCAGGCTGGTTTGGAACTCCTGATCTTGAGCAATCCTCCCGTCTTGGCCTCCCAGAGTGCTAGGATTACAGGCGTGAGCCACTGCGCCCTGCCTATTCTCTATAATTTTTAAAGCCAACCATACCAGCCTTTAGCTCACTGATTATCCTTAATGCTTCCTTTAGGTGGTACTGTGTCCACTGAGTTCAACATACATTTATCATTAATTACAGGCCAGGCACTACAGAGTACGCAAATGAGTAAAATGCAATCCCTGCTCATGAGGAGCTCACAACCTGATGCTTTGGTTCTTAAGTTGAAGAAAATGCACATGAACACAAAATTTCAGACTCTCAAAAGCTCATTAATTCACAGACTCTCTAGAGATCTGTGAACCCCAGATTAAGAACTCAATCTAGTGCAGAAAACCAAAAAGGCGTCCAAAGAAGTTCTTAACCTGTGAATAACTATGAGTTTTATTTAGACGATGATAGGATTTCAGAGCAAGGACAGATATATACATCGTATGGCATCATCATGGATGACAGTGTGCTTAAATCAATCAATCAATCATCAATCATACCGCATCCCTGGCTTATGACAGGGTAGAGCTAGAGAGATAGCAAAGTGGGTCTTAAGGAAAACATATATGCCTACATTGAGAAAGATTAGAAATTAAAATATGCTGTTTGCTAGTCCAATTAGGTGTGGCACTTTATGTTCCAACCTGCAGTACAGCTGTGCGGGGACCTCAGTTTCTTATCTTAGTTAAAAATGTAAGTAGAGGAAAAGCCACTCTGATACAATGAACAGAAACTAAATAAGCAGGGCCAGATTTCAGTTCTTAAGGATCAGTTGACTGCCTCCCTAAACAGAAGCAAAGCCACTCATCACTTTCCTTGTCCCACGCGAGCAGGGGGAGACAGGCACACGGGGAGGTGAGGGTGGCTTGGGTTTTCTGTTTGCTGTTTTAGGTTACCTCTGCATCATATCTGACGGCAGCAGAGAATAATGAGAAGGCATTCTCCACAGTGATTCCTCGCTTGATAATGTGCTGACAAAGTTTTTTCAGTCTGTTTTCACAGTAAGATGTCGCCAAATCCAAAAGACCTAAAAGTAAGAAGTGTGAAAGGCTTAATCGAGTTTACAATAATTTTCCCATATTTATAAACATATATGGTTCATCTTGGTGAACAGAGGTATGTAGATGAATCAGCTCAAGTTTATTAGTGAATAATATTCTTAATTTGTGTAAATAAGTTATTTTACTTCCTACCTTCTCCCCACCTCCAAAAACATACCTCTCCTATACTCACTTGTGATACAATTTCTTCTACAGTACAAAGGAATGGCAAAAAATGGAATTTCCCCCTCATTTTGTTTCCAAAATTCCATTAGCAATTTATACCTCAATATTAAAACTAAAAAAAGTCCACAGTGATACATAAACTACATCTATAATTATAATATTAACCATGATAACTACACAATATAATACACAAGACATTTACTTAGAAATTTTTTTAAAAAAAAAACAAGTAAAAGTCAATAAATCTGAGACTTTTTCTATTTCAGTACTCTAAGAACACGAGGAGATACATTCTCAGCCACACGGCCCGGCCAGTCCCACGGCAGCCACGGTACCTATGGCATCCTCCGGCGGCAGGTCCACCGTGTCTGTGTAGAGGTACTGCAGAAAGGCACGGTACACGGGGTAAGAGAACTGGTCGATTTCTATCACTTCCTTCATGTCCTCGTTCCAATAGGACTGGAACATGGAACGAAAGTGCTCACACCTAAGACAGAAGAGCAAAAGCTACCTAATGAAGTTGTTGAAATCAGACAAACAGAGACTAGAGGTATCCTTAGCTTCTCAATCTGGGCCCACACACACCAGGATCATAAATCTTTAGTTAATACTGTAAAAACATGCCATGTGAAAGGGTTTTATATACACTCATTTCACTTTTTATGTCTCCTATTAAATATTACAAACTATGCATAGAGCCTAGAAGTACCTAGCACTTCAACAGTACCACTGTTTCTATTTGATGGTCACCAAGTTTTTTTGCTCACTTGTTTTTTAAAGATGTACAGAAATGTATTTTAAACAATGAAACAAAAGAAATTCAGAAATGAGAGTTCAGAACTTTTGACTATCTATTAACATCATTTAAATGACTCATTTGTTTTTATTTTATGTGATAAGTATATTCTTAAAACTGCTTTAAATGTTAACTGGATTATATTAGGCTGATTATTGTTCCATTATCTGACAGGATGATTTTTCTTCTTTTCTGCCTTGTCTTCAAAACAGCCATCACCGACATTTTTGTTTCTCTGCATGCCTGCTCTCTTCCCTCTCTCCCCAAGCCTGTTACCACTTATTTTTAAAACTCACATTCCCTAGGATAGTAACCTATTTCAAGAAAACCTAAGTAGGACTCTTTGCATTGTATTTACATGTACAAATCCACTTGCAAGAGGAACTGATTTCTGAATTTTGGATTTTCTTAAAGTATAACATTTTTTTAAAAAATCATCTTTTCAAATTCTTTTAAAGTAAGATATGGTACAAAGAGAAAAAATACTTCAAAATCCATTTGGAATACTAAAAACACAGCTCCACTTACATATGAAAAGAAATAGTTGTCTAAAGCAAGAAATAATGGATGTAACAGGTCAGAGAACTGTACATGAAAGGAACAGACTGAATGCATCTGCACAGACAGAAACACTTCCAGTGCATCTTTTCAATTAATACTGTGCTTCAGATATTTACTCCCTTAGGTAATAAATGACATGGGGCTTTTCCAGTCCCTTAAAATGTATTATTTTGCAAATAGAGTTTTAACTAAATTTCCAAGAAGACTTGTAAATGGTCAATTTAATGGTCTTATTTCACATGCCTCTTTTTCTGTAATGGCAGCTTCAGTGAGAACAGTCCAAAAAGTTATTAATAATGCATGGTTCCCTCCCATTTCTACAGGGAACTCCTACCATTTACTATACCTAAAGAACTTTTCTCTAACTGGTCATCAGAAGCAACTGGTAACATAAGCCTAGTAGTCCTGACTATGGGAGTTTTCTGCTTGGGGAAAATGAATCTTTTAATCAAGGGTAAAAGGGAACACTTTTCAATGACAACCTTTGTATTTTTTTAACCATTTAAACAAATTTTCCAATAGAAAACAGTATTCACAAGACCTTTAATTTAAAAATAATACAGACAATACTTATACTCCCAGAGAATACATGCAAAACTCTTCGACAATAAATAAACTGATACTAGCTCCAAAAATACTAAGTTGTGACATTCCCCTCTACTACTGAGGCTACTTCTTATCTGTATCCATTTTGTGAAATATGAAACAAACAGAAATGGCAAAAAGAAAGCAAGGTTATTCTGTGTGAATATCTTAATGTCAGTTAAAAAAAAAAAAAAAAAAGAAAGAAAGCAAGGTTATTGAAGTCTCTAAGCTCATACGAACATACCTGATTTTCAAAACAGCCTTATGGACATGAATATATTTCCCATCAATTCGAAATTTCAGATCGGCAGTTTCTGGACTATCAAATTCTTTCTTCAGTGACTCTGCAACTGTTAAAAAGTCTTCATGCTCTGAAGGCAATGAACACACTATTAATGCAGAAAAAGCTCAGGGAACAGATTTCAAGATTTGAAAGACTTCAAAAAGATCAGTTGGTATGGTGGATAATTTCATTTGTGTTTTTTCAAGAGTTCATACCTTATTTAACAAATCAATTTTATACTATTAAAATAAATATCCTAGGCCGGGCGTGGTGGCTCACGCCTGTAATCCTAGCACTTTGGGAGGCCGAGGCGGGCGGATTGCTCAAGGTCAGGAGTTCGAAACCAGCCTGAGTGAGACCCCGTCTCTACCAAAAATAGAAATAAATTAATTGACCAACTAAAAATATATATACAAAAAATTAGCCGGGCATGGTGGCGCATGCCTGTGGTCCCAGCTACTCGGGAGGCTGAGGCAGGAGGATCGCTGAGCCCCGGAGATTGAGGTTGCTGTGAGCCAGGCTAACGGCAC